AACTTTTGAGGGAGGGAGGGGGTGGGTGATTTACTGCTAGCAGGGAATTTTTTTCTGGGATCGTTATGTGCAAGATAATTTTTTATCCCATCACCATGTACGATTTTTTTTCCCACACTTTCTTTCGCAGCATTTTTTTTCAATAGCTTATACTATTTAGATTCTTTAATTATAGTTAACGTTGAGTTTTCTAGCTTCATGCATTGCTCTTAATAATACATATTGCTATGAGGTATAACATTTGGTTCAGGGCCTTTTTTAAGGATGTGTAACTGGAGAGGACATAATTAGCGGGGGACCTGGAGAAGTTCCAGTCGGCAAGTCTGTATCCAGGGCCGTAGCTAGCATGTATAGTTGGGGGGGGGGGGTGTAGGCCAAAAATTTCCGAATGACGAAAATAATTTCCGAATATATCATGGCATACTATTAGCCATGAAGGTGTTTGCTATTCGGAAAATGAAGACGCAATTTACAATTAACAAAAATATGCATAATTTACGCACAGACATATTACAGAAGCAGTGCGGTAGGGAGCTTTTGTTTATTGGGGGCAGAAAACGAGGGCCGGAGGCCCGAGGAAATTTTTAAATTTCGAGTCTCTGAAATGCCATTTCCTGGACTTTGGGGAAGTTTTGACAGAATGCTGATGGTCGGAAAAAAGCGTTTTAGTATGACGAAATTTACAATTTGCTTACAATTTATAGTGACAATACAATTTTATAATATTTTCTCTGTTTAACAACTAAAATTTTGTTCTACTATTATTGCCATAATTTTCCGAATGGCCAACCCGATTTTCTGAATATGTTGATTCTAAAAAGATTGGGGGGTTAACCACCCCCCAATACCCCCCTCCTCGCTACAACCCTGTCTGTATCCCTGCAGCTACCTACAGCATATATATGCATGGTTTAACTAATAAGTATACGTCATAGGGCAGCAGCTCAGGCCATGCTTAACTAGGACTCTGAGACAACTGAGTCGACCACCGAAGGTGCGAGCCTCTAGATGGGTCTGGGGGCATGCTCCTTCCCCCAGAAAATTTTGGATTTTTTGAAGCTCAGATAAGCTATTTCCAGCATTTTGAGGAGTTTTCCAACAAGAAATTAACCTTACACTAGTCCCTGAAAATCAAATCAGCTGATCTTCTCGAACTGGTCAAATCGATCCCTGCAACCATGCTGTTTTGCAACATTTTTTCCCACCAAATACTGGGGCAGGATATTTTTTCCCCAGTTTGTTAGTGCAGGTATTTTTTTTGTTCAGAATAGCCTTGCAGGAATTTTTTTTCAAAATCACCCCCCCCGTCCTCAAAAGTTAAATGGTCGGCCCCTAAGAAAGGTTTCTGTAAAATTCTATAAAAGAACAGTTTTGTATTCAAATATATATGGGAAATTCATTCTAAAATCGTTACATGGTCCATCGAGTCGGATAATTCTATCAAAGGAAAGATGAGTCAACAAACAAAAGAGAAAAAATCGAGAACAGCGCACCGATCTTACACAAGAAAGCTCTTACACAAAGCTGGAGAAGTCTGCAACAACTATGATGGAACAAAACCTGGAGAGATAAAGTTGGAGGTTTAAAACGAGATTTATCGGAGAAACTTACTATTTTAGATAAACAGGATAATTCAATAATCGAAACTGTAGACGAGGAAATGGATATCGAAGCGGAAATAAACGAATCAAGCGAATTTCGAAGTTCTATTCATGAAGCAATATCGCAAATAGATTTATGTTTGCAGGAACATAAAGTCAAACATAATGGTGGGCATGATCCAAATGGCTCTTTGAGTTCAAGTTCTATGGTTAACAGTTCATATTCTGATGGCAAGAAAAATGTTCGCCTACCAAAGCTGAATTTAAAACATTTTAAAGGAGATCCAATCAAATTTCAAGCATTCTGGGACTCATTTGAAACCACAATTCATAATAATGAGGATGTATCGGATGTGAGTAAAATGAGTTATTTGGTTAGTTTACTGGAGGGACCAGCTTATCGGTAGACTTGGATCAAGTCCGTCGCTCTAGAGTCCGAGTCGCGAAGCGACGAGATCGAGCGCGCCGCGAAGCGGCGCGCGGCTTTCCCGCGTTATTGCACCTCGCGCTCTCCCTCGGACTCTAGAGAGACGGACTTGATCCAAGTCTACTTATTCGGCTGTAGCTGGCCTTTCGCTTACAAGTGCAAATTATAAAACTGCAGTAGATACATTGAAAGAACGATTCGGTTGTGAAGAAGTAGTTATATCGGCCCACATGGATGCCCTACTTAAATTGCCAGGAGCTAATACAAATTCAGATACAAAGAAATTAAGAGGAATATATGATGAAGTAGAGCAACATGTACGTGGTTTGAAAGCAGTCGGAATTAGCAGTGAGCAGTATGGAAAATTACTTGTTCCTATTTTGATGAATAAAATCCCTCAAGAATTGCAACTGATAATAACAAGGAAATTGGAAAGGAAAAATGGGATTTAGATGCATTACAGAATCTTTCAAGGAGGAACTGGAAGCTAGAGAGATGTGCAAGGAATGATGATAAAGGAAAGGTGGGGGTGGTCGGAATGGAATGATGATAAAGGAAAGGTGGGGGTGGTCGAAGGTATGCAACTACGGCAGAGGCATTACTAGCTCAAGGTCAGTATGAGAGAAAAGGGGGTGGCATAACATGTACGTACTGTCGTGGTAGTCATCCTAGTGCTCAATGCCATGTGATAACTGACGTGCAGGCCAGAAGAGAAGTTCACAAGAGCAAAGGTAAATGTTACAATTATTTAAGGGCAGGACACATCAGTTATCAATGCCAGTCAATCACAAAATGTTATGTTTGTGGATACAGGCATCATATCAGTATATGTCCAAGGAGGGCCCATCCATCAAATTTCCCAAAGAAGAATGATTCTTCACAGTCTCCACCAGGTCTCCCAGATTCACCCAAATCCAATCCTACAGCAACTGTATTCTCAGATACAGAAGATGGAATTTTATTGCAAACTGCCACAGCTCCTGTGTGTAATCCTAGACGTCCTGAAAAGATCGTGAGTGCACGAATTCTATTTGACAGTGGGTCTCAAAAAACTTATATTTCAAAGAGGTTAAAAGATGCCCTCGGTTTGTCCCCATTAAAATCGGACAGACTTATTATTAAAACATTCGGTACGGCGGGAGAAATGGTGAAAACCTGTGAAGAAGTTCAAGTTAGTGTACAGGGAAATCGAGATTTGAATCTTTATCTGACAACCCATTGTGTGCCAATTATATGTGCCCCTTTGCAAATTAAATAATTGAAGTAGCAGTGCGATAATTTCCTCATCTAGAAGGTTTAGAGTTAGCTGATTCTGTCCATGATAAATCAGAATTAAAAGTTGATCTGTTAGTTGGGTCAGATTTCTATTGGCAGTTTATGACTGGAAGAGTCCAAAAGGGGAGGCTGGGCCCACTGCAATTGGATTTTATCTGTGGATATTTTAAAGTGGATTTTATCTGGTCCATCAATCTCTACGAATGCTCGCTCTGTATCAGCAAATCTTACACAGACACATGTCTTAAGAATCGCAGAAGCACCAGGGGCGCCGGAAGCAATGTGAAGCGACGGGGGCAGCCATTTCAAAAGGGCACTTCATTTTTCTGGGCAGCAATATTTCATGTTAAACTATACTGCATTGATACTCGATTACTTGTGGCTATTATGGGTCGGCAAACTTCGACATTAATTTTAAACAATTTTATTCGTTGCACCATGCTAAAGGCGCAAAATAAAATCAGTAAACGAACGTATATTGCTTGATTTAGCATTAATTTTACTACAACTGATTAAAAATTAAGCAAAGATTGCTTACTGAAATGCTGTACAGTCCGATCTGCGTATGTGCACAAAGAATCGAGCCCTCTTTTTATTATACAAACAGTTTAATTACGTTTTTATTTCATTTTATGTTCCTGCAAAGCTTGATTGTTGTGTCTTGATAATTTATCATACTCTAGAATCATGAAAATATAAATAGTTTTCGAATAAAATTCTATATTTTGGATACCGAAATGTGAACAAAGCCTTTGTTGACTGTACCGCATCTTTAAACATTGCTTAAAAAATAGTTCTAAATTCCAATTTCTGTGAATAATGCATAAATTTCCTCGCAAATTTCGAGGCGCAGTTCTGGCAAAAAGGGCAACCTGTTGCCCCCGTGCTGCCCCCCGCTGCCCCCGTAGCTCCGGCGCCCCTGAGAAGCCCCTGATCCTGTTGTTGATCCTCTGCGAGAGGATCTGTCAAAGTTCTGGTTGCTAGAGTCTATGGGTATACAACCGAACGATGAACATTCTGTACATGAACAATTTCTAGACAACATAGAAACTGATGGAGAGCGTTACCAAGTCAAGCTTCCTTTTAAGCAAACACACCCAATAATACCAGACAATTATCAGAACTCTTTGGTAAGGTTGGGTTCACTTGTTAAACGGCTGCGGGGTGAACCTGAGCTCCTTAGAGAGTATGATAACATTCTTAAAGAGCAAAGGAAAACCGGTGTGATTGAAGATGCCTCAGAAGGCCCCGTATCAGTAGGCGAAGTTTACTATATTGTCCACCACTGTGTTGTCAGACAAGACAAGGACACCACAAAGGTACGTGGGTGTATGATGCATCAGCAGAATCAAAGGGGATCTCATTAAATAATTGTTTACATTCTGGTCCCTGTCTTGTACCCACTCTATTTGATATTATGTTGAGATTTCGCTGTCATCTGTTTGCCTTGGTGGGAGACATAGAAAAAGCATTTCTTCAAATTGAGATTGCACCTGAGCACAGAGACTTTCTTCGGTTCCTGTGGATAGATGATATTAGTAACGAACAGCCAAATATTATTGTCCAACGAATGACAAGAGTTACACTCGGAGTTACTGCCTCACCATTTCTGTTAGCAGCTACCTTGCAATATCATATTGCAAAGTACTACTCTATTGAACCCAAAATTGTAGACAACCTGCTTCGATCGTTTTGTGTTGATGACCTCGCCTCGGGTGAAGATTCTTATCAGAAAACATATGAACTGTACGAAAGGGCAAAATCTATTCTACAAGAAGGGGATTTAGAGACAAGAGTAACACCGTTGAAACAACAACGCTTACCGAGATTGGAGCATTAAGTCTTGCAAGACTTGTATCAGCTGTTCGGAAAGCCAATGAGCCTGTCATCCCTATCAGTGCGATCTACTATTGGACTGATTCAATTACCACATTGTATTGGATACAGGGAACTAGCAAAGAGTTTAAGCAATTCGTGGAGAACAGAGTAGCGGAAATCAGAGAATTGAGTGACGTAGAGGGCTGGCGACATGTACCTGGGAAATCCAATCCTGCAGATCTACCATCTCGAGGTGTTCGGTTGGAAGATTTAGCTGATAATAGTTTATGCTGGAATGGTCCAACTTGGCTTCACGAATCTGAAGAACATTGGCCTCAATTCAAGAATGCAGAGCCTGACGAAGCAGCGGAGAAAGAAATGAAGTTGAGCGAAAGATCGTTAGCGAAGTCGGACGGTTCTACACACGTGTCAGTAACTCAAGTTCAGAACAGGCGTATAAATCTAGAACTATTAATCGATCCAAAAAGATACAGTTCTTCATTGAAATTATATAGGGTTACAGCTCTGGTATTAAGATTTGTGAAAATACTCAAACACAATTGCAAGGCGGCAGATAGTCGACAGTGGAATCGTGTCACAACTGACGAGATAAAAGAAGCGGAAGTGCTATGGTTCCAAACCGTTCAGAGAACCATTATCGATGGTAGGAAATTCTCACAAGTTCAAAGGTCTCTAGGACTTTACAGCAACGATTCAAAGCTTCTACGTTGTAAAGGAAGAATATCTAAAACGGACATACCGACAGAAACGAAGAATCCGATTATTTTACCGAACTACCATCACTTAACTTCGATTATAAGTCGTGAGTGTCATGAACGAGTGCTTCATAATGGGGTGCAAGACACCTTATGCTGTTTAAGAGAACGATTCTGGATTGTCAAAGGTAGACAAACAGTTAAACGTGTGATTGGGAAGTGCGTAACTTATCGTAAATTCGGTTGCTAAAGGACAAACCGAAATGACCAAAGCGTATATTGCACTTTATACATGTGCAAGTACTCGAACAGTTCATCTGGAATTGGTTCCAAACCTGACAGCTGATGCGTTTATTCCATCATTTAGGAGAGTCATTAGTCGAAGAGGTATTCCAAAGTTGATAATGTCGGACAACGCTAAAACATTTAAGTCCTCAAGCAATAAATTGTCAGCATTACTCGATTTACCAGAAGTCCAAGAATTGTTGCAGTCCAGACGAGTTGAATGAAAATTCATAGTTGAAAAGGCCCCTTGGTGGGGTCCGGGTGGGTTCTGGGAGCGAATGGTCAAGTCGTTGAAGTGTTGTTTAAAGAAAACATTAAAGAATGCGAGATTAAGTTACGATGAACTTAATACAGTTCTTACGGAAGTGGAAAGTGTACTAAACTCAAGACCTCTGACGTATGTTGAATCTGGCGAAATGGAAGAAGCTTTAACACCTTCTCATTTATTAATAATGGGAAGACGTTCAATTTTGATGTCAAATTCTAAGTGTGAAGGAGAAACAGCAGACATCTCTGGAACGGAGTTAACAAAAAGAGCGAAGTATCTATGTAGGTTAACTGACAGTTTCTGGGAAAAATGGCATAAGGAATATCTTCTGAGTCTTCGGGAACAACATCGTGGCTCGTTGAGCGTGACGAAAGAAACATCTATCAACATTGGTGATGTAGTTAGTGTGCATGACGAGAACAGATCTCGAGCAAAGTGGTGTTTGGCAAGAGTTCATGAGCTAATACGTAGTACAGATGGGAAAATACGCGCTGCTGTTATTAGAATTGCGGGGGACAGCAAGAAACCAACGTACATACGGCGTCCCGTTCAGAAACTGTTTCCATTGGAGCTTAGGAACGAACATACCCAAAAAGATCTCCTCAACCCGACTAAACAAAGTCCGAAGTCACTCAAGTCTTATACCCCCTCCTACATTACTAAAAGAGACTGTCGACCCGCAAACAAACAAGCCCTAATCACCACCTTATCCCAAATCAACTGGACCCCACTTTACCACGTAACTGCTTTAGATGATCAATTCAACCTATTCTCGAACAAACTATCCTCTGTTATCGATAGTCACCTCCCTCTGCGCACCATAAAGTGTTACCCTAAAGATAAACCATGGATCACTGCAGATATAAAAAAATTCATTTCTAAAAGGCAGAAAGCTTGGTTAACCAGCAACACTATCATGTATAACGTTTATCGTAACAAAGTTAGAAAACTATGTAAATCTGCTCATCAATGCTACTACGATAAGAAAATCCTTAATACCAGTGAATCTAACCCCCAAAAATGGTACGATGACATCAAGTCTATTTCTGGTTTATCTAAATCGGAACCTTTTTCGAGCATCTTCCATGATGGTGAGTTCAAAAGAGGTCCTGAGCTTGCTGAACTAATTGCCGAATCTTTCTGTAGTGTTTCAAACGAATTGGCCCCACTCTGCTTCAATAAGCTTCACATTACATCTGTTCCTGATGAGTACATAATATCAACCCAACAAGTTGAAATCGAATTGGAAAAGATCAGTCTTCAGAAAGCAATTGGCCCCGACAATATCCCCAACTGGGTACTGAAATCAGCTGCACCGTTGCTCACTGGTCCAATATGTTCCATCTTCAATGCCAGCATTGCACAAGGTTGCATCCCGACACTCTGGAAATCAGCAGACGTTATCCCAGCGCCAAAACTATCTAATCCCAAATCAATTGATAGCGACCTAAGACCTATTTCTCTCACACCGGTGCTGAGTAAATTATTGGAAAGCTTTGTTTTTCGGTGGCTTTTTGGTTATATTAAACCATCAATCGACCCGCTCCAGTTCGGAAATATGAAAAATTGCTCCACCACACACGCTCTTATCCACATGATCCATAACTGGCTAGCCGAATTAGAAAACCCTGGTTCAACTATCAGATGTTGTATGATTGACTTTTCGAAAGCCTTTGATCGCATCGATCACAATATTTTACTTCATAAATTACAACAACTCAACATCCCTCCTATCTTGTTGAATTGGTGCGCTGAGTTCCTGCATGACCGATATTTACGTGTCAAGCTTGGCCAGAATAAATCAACATGGCGACAAATAAATGCAGGGGTTCCACAAGGTACAAAAGTTGGACCCCTCTTCTTCCTTGTGATGATAAATGACTTGCAAACCAACACTCCAATGTACAAATATCCACATACGAAATCGTTTCAAGATCGTCCCCTACTTCATTGCTTCAAGCTAATATAAACACTATAAATGACTGGACCAATCACAACAACATGCGCTTAATGTATCTAAAACCAAAGAACTGCGTATATCCTTTCTTAGAGTCCCTATGGTATTCGATGCCCTCTCGTCATCTGGTTTAAACATAGAAATCGTCCAGACCTTCAAACTTCTGGGAGTGATAATATCATCGGATCTTACCTGGAATGCGCACATTGATTACATCTGCACCAAAGCAAGTAAACGTCTTTATGCTCTAAGGATCCTCAAACGATCTGGTGCCACTGCCAATGATTTAATAACGGTCTTTTGTGCATTTATTCGTCCAGTTTTGGAATACGCCTCACCTGTATGGCATTTTTCTCTCCCTCAATTCCTCGCTGATCAAATCGAGAGTATACAAAAACGTGCATTGAAAATCGCTTTCCCCCAGTCCTCCTATACTACCTCACTAAGAAACACTGGCCTTCTTACACTTTACCAGCGAAGAGAGAATCAGTGCTTGTCATTCTATAAGAATATCCATCAACACTCAGACGATAAGTTGAGAACGCTACTTCCCAGTGCTATATCTCACAAATTCAGTCTAAGAAATAAACGCACTTATCCTATGTATAAGTGCAAAACTGAACGATATAAGAACAGTTTTATCCCAAAGTGTGTTAGAAACTGGGACCGACCATAGACATAACAAAATATTTTATAGTACATATCATTAATATAGTTTATATTATAGTAGTTTTAAATTGAACTTTTTGCAAATTTAAAAATTTTAATACTATCTATGTAATATCACGTTTTTTAAATTTTTATTAATTTACAATGTGGTAATTATTAAAATCAATCAATCAATCAATCAATCAAATCTTGACAATTTACTTGTTCACGTTCATTATCGCATTTAGTAGTTCTGCCAGATGGTTTATTGTGTTCTTTGGAAAATCCTGACGGGAATGTTTTTGTGGGCGCAGTGAACTTAAGGATTGCCCATCCCTAAGGAACTTAATAAAATGTGTAGCTAGTATGGCAGTCCCCTTTGCATTTAGATGCAGGCCACTAGAGTTCAAACATGTCTCATCTATTGACATATTACTTATAAATGTCACATCATGCTTAGATGACAAACTCTGAACTTTCTCGTTAATTTCTTCTATTTTTGATATTAAATCACTATCCTGTCTCAATGTAAGTCCAGAAATTCCAATTTTAGAATTAGGGAATTTCTGTTTAGCTGTTGTAATAAGTTTTTCCATGTTACCAACACATTCGTCTATAGATTCAACAGGGACATCATTTGTCCCTGCGTGAATAACAACATGAGACGGCTCCGGTTTAATATTAATTTTGGCAAGCTCATTAGTTATTTCTATAGTTGTTTTACCTGGATATGTGAATTTATAAACTTTCCTTTTTGAGAGTTTTACCGGACTAATATTTTTGATTATTGAATCCCCAATAAGTGCAATACCTTTCTTTGGTACTCGATCACTGTTACCACTTGTACCTTGCGTTCTGTCATCCTTGGGCTCTGTAGATTTACTTGTACTCTCAGACATATTTTGACTAGGTGTTGGTTGTTGTATATCAGAATCAATATTAATTACGGAAGCATCAAAGTCACTGTTATTGTTTAGTTCATTTGCCTCGTCCTCTAAAGACGAGAACTGGTTGTGCAGCCTTGTAACCTTGTTACCTTTTTGATTCTCACTTCTTGTATGAACCGTACACCATGGATTTCTTGGTTGAGTCGTTTGACTGCGAACGTTGTCCCCTACATCTTTAACAGCATTAGCACAATCCTCATTCATTAACCGAATAACCGTCACGAGACTAGCTTTTTCGCTTTCCGCAGCTACTAATTTAGAACTGGTTTCGGACAATAGACATTCAAGTTTATGTACGTCAGATTTAAGTGCCATATTTGCTTTTTTAATAAGTCGTTTTCTTGGGCAAGTTGATTATCTCTCACTTGGCTATTACGAATTTCATACCCATCTACAAGCTCGTTCAATACTATGGTCGTTTCGGATTTATATATTTCAAATTCGTTAGACAATGCATTCAAGCGATTCATAACATCATCCAGTGCGTTTCCCTCCACACATATCGAAATTTCTTTAAGGGTTTGCTCAGATCGATTTGTAGCGCCATTATTAGTTGAAAAGTGTGCAGAGTCATTTTGAGAAGCATCAAAATCGAACAGTTCAGCATTCGACATGTTCGTATTTACCATAAAGCTATTAATATTCGGCAGGGAAGGCATATGCGTGGGTGAGACATCAGCAAAGTCGTCAACTCCCAAATTGCTTATGTTATTCGGTGAAATAGTGGCTATTCTTTGCAGAATATCGGAGTATTCATCTTTCATGGGACCATCCAACAACACACTTCGGTTTTCGTACCAGCGTACAGTGATATCTTTCGTCTTCAGCTGTTTACAACCGCCACGCGGAACCTTCCACTCGCTGGATATGACTTAAAAAGGGCTGAAAAACGTTTTCTGGACCATATCCGCGTTTTATCCTTTTGGATACCATTTTGGATAAAACGCGGATATGACTTAAAAAGGGCTGAAAAACGTTTTCTGGACCATATCCGCGTTTTATCCTTTTGGATACCATTTTGGATAAAACGCGGATATGACTTAAAAAGGGCTGAAAAACGTTTTCTGGACCATATCCGCGTTTTATCCTTTTGGATACCATTTTGGATAAAACGCGGATATGGCTTAAAAAAGGCTGAAAAAGTTTTTTGGAAGCCATCCGTCCGTCCGTCCGTCCGTCCGTCCGCCACTCATCCGTCCGTCCGTCCGCCATCCATCCGTCCGTCCGTATCCGCGTTTTATCCTAACCCCAATGAGGCAATCATTAGCTATAGTTCAGGTGTTAATTTTGCCACCTAGAGGATCCATAAAACATGCCAGACATGCTTGTGTTACTTGAACAAGGAATCAACGAACCAAAAGATCCCATTTACGGCATTTACTGTAATAAAATAATAACTCTCCTGCTTTTTTAGGTATTCTTGTTTATTAAAAATGTCATTAATTAAAAAAATCTGCTATGTTTTTTCTTGCACGAATTTACACGACCCCCCCCCCCTTTCCCTTGCATGAAAATTAGTGATCCTCCCCATTTTGCACCCCCCCCCTCCCTATAATTAATGACCGGTCCCTACTTAGATTAAAATTTACTCTAACATGCAAGTTGTCCATTGGTGTCCTGCGATATTTCAACGTTTTATATTATAATTTTAGAATTCCACTAGAATGCTTCCCCGAGGAAATTTTGAATATTTAGACCATCGGAATGGCCGGAAATGCAAATAAAATTTGGCATTATCAGCTTGCCGTATGCGTTCACGTTAAACTTCAACGTTTAAACGCTGTTAACTGTCTAATAGAAACGTGACTGTCTGTGTATGTACAATAACAGCCAACATTTGCACATGGCCACGCGATAATTTGATACTTACGCACTTATTAGTCAGGCAAACCACTTCCCAATTATATGACCACGAAAATTACGAAATCGTAATATGTGTGAGTTTCCAACCTTTAACCTTTCTCATTGGTAACTGGAGATTAACCTTGTGATGGATAATCTATTACGATGACACTGTGAATAAACCAATAATAGTATTAAATTAGTATTTTCTATATATTTCTGACAAACAGCCAAGAGTGTTGACCAACTCTTCCGGTCACTGACTGAGTGCCCTCCACAAACAATGCTATCATATATAAGTATAAGTATTAACTATATGTAAGTCGTAACTCGTAAGACTCACGAATCTAATAAATCTAATCATTTGTCTAACCATTCGATTTAAATTTAGTGTCTCGATGACGCGTTTTCCGAGTTGAATCTCCTGATGACTCGTCTCTGTGTATCGATGACGCGTACAGCGACATGTAGCTGAGACTGGAATCATTCATACATATATACGCATGCCAATGCCATATTGAACTGTTCAATCATTAATATTATGTTGCTCTGATAACCACGGTAGAACTGTCATTAAATAATTTTGTACCAGCATATTTTGTCAGTGCACGGCACAGAAAACGTCACGCTATTTTAGTCCAGCGTACACTGGTGCCACGTTGCACGCAAACTTGTCATTCGTGACCAATAGACCTTTCCTCTTATGAGTGAAATTTTGATCTAGACAAGCTTGGACAAAAATTTCATCACAGCTTGAAAGAGCATCACAAAATTAACATGTTTAATATTTGGTGCTCAAGTATATTCCCCGCACATTAGGATTTTTGTTCTGCAAGTCGCTGTCATTTTGTAGTCAACACAGGCCTTATTAATTTATACATATAGACGCGCAGTTTATTTCATACTCACAGTTAGCCAAATGCCTTGCAATTCAGCACGTTGTTCGACCGTCAGATTCTGCCTTTGTTTATACAAGTCTCCAACATTCAACAGTTGAGACTATTAGTTAGTGCGTGTGTACAATCTGTAATCATATTATGGACATATGGTGATAATAAGTCATGTTCCTACTGCGCGAGATTTGTAAAGGCCAGTTTTCCATTAACGTTCGCTAGCTTTGCCCACGCGGGCGCTTCGTTCATTTTTTTTTACGCCCGTCACGCCCGCGTGAGCAGATACACACATACATACACACATACATGACTTTATTTATACACGGAGAACCATCAGTACATAATTATGATAATTAGCTATTTACAAGTAAAAATAATTAATATAAGTTAGTAAAAGTTCTTCTTTTAATAATTAATAAAAGAAGAAGACAAGATTGAAGGGAAGAAGGAGAAGAGGAGACTGACCTGGTTGCCGTGTGGGAGTCGGTAAGACTGGAAGAATATAGAGATTCCAGACTTCCTTTAAACGAGGAGAGGGATGATGATAATCTAAGAGATTCAGGCAAGCTGTTCCAAAGTGATGCTCCACTATAACTGATTTCAAAACCCGCTCCGCACGCGTGGGCAAAGCGACTTCGGAAACCGGCCTTTAGCCCGCATGGTGTAGCATATATACTGTACATATACTCACCGGTGTGACATCACATCGCATAATGACATTTTGAAAACGCAATATTTTACCTTGATAGAATATTTTTATAAACAAATACAGAGGGTTAATTAACCAGTTATGAAATTAATACATATACAAGAGCAATTTTTAAGTTTTTAGATACGTATTCGTCAAGAAAACTATACTTTTCTGAAAACTCATTATGTGATGTAATGCCACACCGGTGATATTTGCATATGAAACAAAATTGAATATCTTTTCAAGTTACCAAAATTCTATAAAAGGAAATTATTAATTAAGTCATTTTAAGTGATCTTTACAATGCAACCATAAACCTTTAAATTGGGGTGAAATTTCGTGTCATAGGCACTTTCAATTAAGATCATTCGAAGCATTGCCGTGTACTACGAATGAATGAATGAACAACTTTATTTAAAGAGGGTAAAAACACACGACAGCAATATAACGGTTTTGGCGCATTTGGCCAGAAAGCATGCATGTTTCGCAGAAAATTAAGTTTCTATATACTCAATTTATTTAAAATAGACGACCGCGAGTATTTAACAAATTTGTTTATAATCCGTCGGTCGTAGGATCATTAATTTTTTAACGATTTTGAAATATGAAAATCAGTTTATTTTTGACAAAAACGTATTTTTCATTTTTTTAAAAAATTAAAATTGAAACCGCATTTTTGCCCAAAATGCATGGGCATTTTCAATTTTTAATTCACCGGAATGAGTGTTCCGTCATTCAATTATCGCAAGCAAGCCATATTTAGCGGGAAAATTTCAAACTAAAGAATCTAGATCTAATTATGATTCCTTCAAAACAATATTTAAAAAATAATTCTTACAACTAAATCAAAAATAGCATCCTTTATAGAGTATAAAATGATAAGTGATTACTGAGTAAATCATATTCATAATTATTTTCTTATAGTGATCTTACTACAAGGTATATAAAAAAATAATCCATGCAACTTCAGCGCGCTATTGTATGTTATCTACTTTTTCATATTCTGAAAGATCAGGCTTTTAGCTGTTGATACGTTGGTACTACCGGCATTTGGTTCGCCCCATGAACTTGGCAAGATGGCGTCGCGAACGTCGAAATTAAAAGGCGTATTTACTCGACTGTATATCTGGTCAACGTTTGCCAAGCTAATAGAAAGCATGCTAGCATTTAGACAGAGCCGTTAATATCGAATAATTTCTAATAGAATTTCAATTCAGTAATTTCATGCCAGAACCACAAATTGGTGTCCTACGTTCACACTCCGATACTACGTTTTATATTATAATTTTATTTAGAATTCCACTTGAATGCTCGATCCTCCGAGGAACTTTTTGGATATTTAGACCATCGGAATGGCCGGAAATGCAAATAAAATTTGGTATTCTCAGCTTGCCGCTTGCGTTCACTTTACTTCAACGTTAAAAACGCTGTTAACTGTCTAATAGAAACATGACTGTCTGTGTATACAGCTATTTCAATTAAGGTTGTCCCCCGAGCAAAGCGGAAACGTCGAGCGCGGAAGGCTGCTGGGAATCGCTAATAAATTAATGAATTTATTAGCGATTCCCAGCAGCCTTTCGCGCTCGTATTCGACATTTCCGCTTTGCTCGGGGGACAACCTTAACATTCTAATATTAATTCCACCAAGTGAAGTGCAAGAATCCTAATCATTGAAGTCCACCTTATCACAACCTGCACACCCGATTACCTATATATACATGAACTTGCGGTTGCAGCTCAACAGCTGGCCTCTGTAGCTGAGTTGGTTGGAGCGCTGCACCGGAATCGCAGGGCCGTAGGTTCAATTCCTACCAGAGGACCTTGTGCTGCATTTTTCGCAGTCGTTCCTGGTTAGGTCTTAAAATGTATATATTCTCACTTGAATTACAAACCCTAACATTCTAATTGAAATAGCTGTATACAATAACAGCCATGATTTGCACATAGCCACGCGATAATTTGATACTATCGATTTTGTCCACGAGAAACGAACCAGTTTTGTTTGGCTTTTTTGAAATTTACAGTATACTTTATTCATTTCTCATAACACATTTGCATCAAATTAATTGACACTGGAAGGACCAAATAAACCCTTGTGGGTTTTTACAAGTCAGTCCTTTTACAATTAAATTACAAACAGCCAAGAGTGTCGACCAATTAACTCTTCCGTTCACTGACTGAGTGCCCACATGTACGTGCGAATTGTACGAATCTGCACACAAACCATGCTATCATATAAGTATAACTATATATATGAGACTCTAGACTTGAGCCCCGTTTACACTACGCTCAATTTTTGGTACGGCACAGATAAAATTGGTACCCGTACCACTTTTTTGGTTCTTGGACTACCTATTTAGCTAAGCCCCGTTTATACTACGCTCAATTTTTGGTACCGTACCACTTTTTTGGTTCTTTGTACCATGCATCTAAATAGGTAGTCCAAGAACCAAAAAGTGGTACGGGTACCAAGTTTATCCGTGCCGTACCAAAAATTGAGCGTAGTGTAAACGGGGCTTTGGTTCAAGTCCAGGGACATTTGCAACATTTCGAATGTTACTTGCAAAAATTGGCGCGAAAATTTGTTGTTGTTCTCAGCTCGCAAGCTCGCATATATTTTCTAAGTTTTTGAGCAACCCTTTGCTTATTTAAATAAATGATAATTGAACATTTGAATATTTTGATATGTATATTTTGATTTTTTCAGTCTCATCTATACATGTTATAGTTCAACTGGAATTTATCTCAACGCTGCAGAACCGCGTCATTGGACGTGCAGTCGAGTGAAGGTAATCGGTCACTGAAAAACCCTGAAGGGGTTGAGCTGAATAATATATCACAATCAATCATAATCATTCGACATTATTCTAAGTATCACTATCTTTATTTTCACGAGCCAAGTTCGATATTTTCATTCCCAATTACAATGCTCATCTTTCCCTGTCCTTCTTGTGGCATTTCAAATTTCCCTACTTCCTCCAGTGTCTCAGGCAGTTTCACATTTAAAGTTTCTGGTAGCAATAGGGCAAGCGAACCTGACAGCAGAACCAAGCCACCAAATATAATAAAAGGTACCGCGTCAGCTGTATAGTTTCCCTAGGAAAAGATTTTGAAATTGCTACTAAAATATGATGGATATATATTATAAGTAATTGGGTAATATAATAAACAATTCTTGGATGAGGCTGGCTGAGCCAGTGACATCAAGAATTATTCAGACCGAGGTCAATGTTAGCATTGACCGTGGTCTGAATAATTCTTGATGTCATGCGAAAGCCGAATCCAATAATTATTTTACTACATTTAAAGACATCAGAAACGTATAAAACGATTAAACGAAGTTTTTAAATGTTTCAAGTATATTAGTTTATTTTTCCGCGCTTTTGGATTTGAGTTGTTGGCCGCGCAGGGGCTTGGGCACTACAGCGTCCAATAATTTTTGTTTTGGATGCAAGTTCCATCCAAAAAAACTTATTATTATATTGGACGCTGAGCCCGTCAGCAGCTGAAATTACGTAACAAGTCAGCAGCTGAAATTACCGAATATTGAGAATTATCGATCCGATGCTTTCTGACCAATCAGGAACGAGAATAATACATACTAAATGTATAAATTAATTGATTTAATTAAAGTGGTCTAAATATTTAATCTTTATAAATATTTTTCTTGAGTTTTAGCATATACTCGTGCAATGCGATTGGTTTCTCAGTTTTAGATATCCTTGCACTTTATCCACCTCTCTTTTGTGTTTTTGGGACTGAATTTATTTTAATTTCGCTTATTTCTTTATCAGTAACTTCCACAAAACGGCTAGCCGCCATTTTGAAAATTTCGGTTTTGTTACTATACAATTACTTTATGGTTTCCGTGTTTGGATGAACTGATGACCTTTGGAATGTTGCGAGAGTTAAGAAAAGCGCGCGAAAACACGAGCCGAAGACGAGTGATTTTGCGCGCTTTTCTTAACTCGAGCAACATTCCCAAGTGTTTGGATCAGGCCATCCAAACACGGAAACCATAAAGTAATTGTTTTATAAAATAACAACAACACGATAGTCTTCCGTGTTTGGATGGCCTAATCCAAACACGGGTTTCGACCAATCAGAGCACGCGTTATATACATGTTATTTTATAAATTCACCTGTAGGTGAATATAACGGCTTAATACGTCAAATTTGACCAATCAACGTGTACATACATAATAGTTTATTCACCAAATATATAATTATGTACAAAAAGTATATACATATATTTGGATGGTGCTCAGCAAAAAAAAAACCAAGGAGCTTGTAAAACGCTAAACACCATGGTGGCATATAGATGTTATAAATAGTTAGAGGTCGCGGTTTTGGCATTGTTACGAGATAGATGAATAGAGCAAAAGATTGAGATTAAGAAACAAATTCAGAATATTACAATATATATAACTCAGTTAATTAAATTAACCTTTAGCTATTTGCCTCCATGAGGAAATTTCCGAGTTTGAATTAAAAGGAACTGGGTGAATGAGACTGAGTAATAGATTTATTGAGGGAATTCCAGAGAATTGAGCCACTATGCTTAAGAGTTAGCTTTCTAGTAGTAGTTCGCACCTTCTTTATATGAATCTTAGCAGCGTTTCGAGTATTATAGTGATGAACATCTTTATTATAAGAAAAATATTGGAGAAACTGAGATGGTAAGGAAAAGGATTGATTAAGGCATTTGAACATGAAACATCCAATTTGATATTGGTTAAGTTGGTATACATTTAATATACATTTAATAATTTAAACAAAGAAAATAGTGGTTTAGTATGATCCCTGAAGCCAGCTCCAGCAATAATTCGAACAGCTCGCTTTTGTAATTTGAGGATCCTGTCGAGGTAAGTGTGATAACAGTTGGCCCATACAATATTACAGTATTGAATATAAGGAAGAACAAGTGAACAGTAAAGGGTTCTTCTGGTCGAAACAGAGACATATGATTTAATTTTATTAATTAAACCAATAGATTTGGCCATTTTCATAGAAACCTTGTCAATATGAACCTTCCAGTCTAAATGTTCGTCTATTTGAACTCCGAGAAAATTTATTGATGCAACTTGCTCAATTTCCTGACCGTCGATAATTATGTTTAGATTATTTCTATATTGGTTTAGGGGCTTGTTTCTGGCACAAAAGATAATGCATTTAGTTTTCTTTACATTCAAAGATAATTTGTTCGTTTTGAACCACGTTGAGAGTTTAGAAAGCTCCTGGTTATTCCTCTCCACCAGAGACTTTAAATCCTTGTCAGAAGAAAATAAACTTGTATCATCCGCAAAGAGGATAAGATTTAGAATATTAGTACAGTTTGATATATCATTAACATATATAAGGAATAATAAGGGGCCTAATGGCCTAAGGGGCCTAATGCCTTGGGGAATAAGGGGCCTAAGGGGCCTAATGCCTTGGGGAACACCACAATTGATAGTTCTGGGGGACGAAATGCAATCTTTGAATTTTACTCTTTGAGTCCTATTTTTTAGATAGTCCGCAAACCATGACAATTGGACTGCTCTAATTGCTTTGGACTGCTCTAATTGCTATTTTGCTCACAACTCTTACGGGTCCGGAGCTGCGATACAAATCATTTTAAAAATATTTTCGTTGTTTTTTGGCCATTTTTGTTTTGTTTTCTTATGGTATATGTTAACGTTAAAACAATTATTCACCTCAGTGTCAGTGAATGGTGCAATACCCTTGCACTATTCACCACCATTGCATTCATGCTTAGTTACGTACCAGTAACAAAATCTGTGGTGCTGCAATGCCACCAATTCTTGCCCAGAATATCCCTGCTCCAACACCTACGTTCCTACACAGTATGAATTGTGCAAAATATATGTACATTAATCTTGATGTCTAAAACTGAGAGTGATAATGAGGGTGATTATTTATTGAATACATACCGCATCATAGTAGGATAAAGTTCAGAAGTACAAATAAAAATAGTTCCAAAATTTCCAGTCAGGAACATTCTTCCAATTATCGCAAAGACTGTCACAAGGGTCTGGACACTTTCTAGAAGATGTAAAAAATTATTATAATATTACAGTGACAATAAACTAGTTTCATATTATTTCTATAAGATGTCAAAAATGATTTATATTACAGTGACTATAAACTAGTTTCATAATATGAAACTAGTTTTTCGTATCTCTGAGGATGGTTCTGAAATTACAGTGACAATTTAAAACATTTATGTGGAAAACTGCAAATAATATGTTCCCGAGTTATGTGTCTAGTAAATTCATTCCTACTTCTTCGATACACGAGCAAAACTTGCGAAGCTCAAATAAAAAAATGTGTACTTAGATCCTTGACTGAATTTCTGAGAAAACTGTTTTTCATATAGAGGTGCACCCTAATGGAATGAATAGCATACCCGTCGAAACTACCAGAGTTCAATCACTTGCTGCAGTTATTTTCTAGTATTTTATAGTAGTTATATATTTTGGTAAATATTATCAATACTGATAGTTTGACATCGTATAATCACCGGCATGTCTCCGTGCAAGACCACATATCTTTTTTAGTTGTTTTTTTTTTATATTGTGAAATGGATTTCGTGGTTAAATTAAGACGCCAATCAATCAGTCAGTCATGAAGAAGTCAGAAGATGTAGAGTGGTGGATATTGCAGAGAAGGTGAGGGAAGAAAGGTGAGATGGTATGGACATCAGGACATGTATTAATAAGAAGAGAAAAAGGAGAGCCAGTCAGACACAGCATGAAGAATTCAGCCACTAGGGGGGGGGGTGAGATGGAGTGCATCGACACGAGACAAAAGAAAACCTATCAAAAATGGATAGACTTTGTAAAAGAAAATGTAAATACCAATGACAAAGGACGGAAAAAGATGGCGGAAAATAATGAGCAGCCGATCCGGGTCAGTCTGGAACTACAGTTGAGGTAGAAAAAAGAAAATATCAAAAGAATGATGGGTGGGCATTACAAAGTGCAAAAAGAGATGGAGGAAAAGAATCCGAGCAGCCGATCTCGAGTGAGTCGAGTCAGTCTGGAACTATTGCCGGGTAAAAGAAAATCTGAATATTTATTTATTTATTTATTTATTTATTAAACTTCGCCACTTACAACAAACAAGTGGCAGGGACACCACAACAGTATACACCAATTACTGTGGGCCCTTTAAAAATTGCTAAATTTTAAGAATACAACACAAAACAACATATCGCAAAACAAAACTACATCGCACAGAACAAAATTGAATATTATGCAATGCAGTGCAATGCAATACAATGCAATACAATGCAATGCAATGCAATACATAGCCAAGACAAGATTCAACTTCCACCACCACTACCGCCACCAACAATATTTTTATAGTTTATCGAGCTAACCAATTACATGCACATCAGGTCAGCGAGAGGTAGCGGTAGTGGCGGCGAAAGCCAAATCCCAAACTCGCTAAAAACAACAAGAGATGGACTATCCAGACTTCGAGCCTTGTTGCACTTTAGGCAGATAGATTTCCATGTCCGTGGATTATCGTGATCATAGACTAGATTTAAAGCAGTACGGTAGTAATCGAGTAATAAAGATTTAAATAAAAAAATAAAGTAATAAAGATTAAAATAATAAAGATTAAAAAAATAAAGATTAATAAAGATTAATAAAGATTTAAATATAATAAAGATTTAAATATTTTTTTTAGTTAAACTAGACACTGGGGCCCAAGTTAACGTAATGCCGGTACAAGTTTATAATTCCTTAAAGACAAAGTCAAAAGTGTTACAGCCAACTAAAGTAAAATTAACTGCATATGGGGGAAATAGAATTCCAGTTCTTGGTAGATGTCAGCTGAAATGCAAGTATAAGAACGAAGCCCATAACCTTGCATTTTAAGTTGTTAATGCCAATGCTCCCACTGCTTTGAGTTTAAAAACATGCCAAGACCTATCATTAATCAAAGTTATAATGACGGTGAATAAGTCGGACGAAAACACAAATTGTGATCAGTTACTTGAAGAGTTTAGTGATGTTTTCAAAGGTCAAGGATGTTTATCGCATGAATTCCACATTCAATTAAAGCCAGGCGTTAAACTTGTTGTGCATGCTGCAAGAAAAACACCTGTCAGCTTGAGAGATAAAGTAAAGCGCGAATTAGAACGAATAGAAAAGTTAAATATAATACGAAGAGTTGATGAGCCAACAGAATGGGTCAACTCTATGGTAGTTGTCCCAAAGCCCAACGGTGAAGTAAGAATTTGTCTAGATCCCAGGGATTTGAATTTAGCTGTAAAACGGGAACACTATCAAATGCCGACACTAGATGAAACCACCAGCCAGTTGGCCGGTGCGAAGTATTTTACTGTTCTAGATGCGACAGCTGGCTACTGGAACGTTCCACTATCCAAGGAATCCTCTATATTGACAACGTTCCAAACCCCATTTGGTAGATTTTGTTACTTAATACGAATGCCATTTGGTATATGTTCCGCGCAAGAAGTCTTCCAAAAGAAGATGGATCGCGTATTTTGGGAATCGCCTGGTGTCCACGTGATTGTTGATGACATACTTGTGTCTGGATCAACAAGAGAAGAGCACGATGAGAGGCTGCGTGCGACTTTGACGGCCGCGAGACGGAACGGGGTAAAGCTTAATCCAAAGAAGATAAGCGGTAAGAAATATGATGTTACCGCAAAACAAAAAATAGTTGGAGAGTCAGCTAGGCATGTTCACCTACTTGGCTCAGTATTCACCACATCTGTCGGAGAAAAATGCAATCCTGAGAGAATTGGTGAAGAAAGATACTCATTGGAATTGGTGTCCTGAACACGAAGCTGCATTTACCGAAATGAAGAATATCATAACGCAAGTTCCAGGTCCAGTTTTGAAGTTTTACGATACTGGTAAACGTGTCACAGTACAAGTGGATGCTTCCCAGTCAGGGCTAGGAGATGTGCTTCTACAAGATGGGAAACCTGTGGCATATGCTTCGAAAGCTTTAACTCCAACCCAGCAAGCATACGCTCAAATAGAAAAAGAAGCATTAGCGTTAGTCTTTGGATGTGAGAAGTTCCATCACTACCACTATGGTTGAGACTTCGATGCAGAAACGGACCACAAACCTTTAGAAATAATCATGATAAAACCTCTGAAAGCCACCCCATTGAGAGTTTAGGGAATGAGAATCCGTCTACAGAGGTATAACGTGACCGTAAAGTATAAACCTGGAAAGGACATTCCAGTTGCGGACACACTATCGCGAAGTGGTGCCTGTGAAGAGAATCCATCTGAAGCTCTAGATTTAGAATCTTACGTTGAAAGTATAGTAAAGGAAATGCCCGTTTCTGATGGCAAAATGGAAGAAATACGAGATTCTACGAAGCGTGAAGCTTCATCCTCGGATTTATCAGACTCTGTGTCCACATAACGTAGTGGCTGTTTGTGGGCTAGCATTGTAAGGACACATCCACTTACGATTAGCTTTTTATCAATTTCCAATTTTGCAAGCCTTTAAGAAATATGTTTAGTCCAGCCGGTTCTGGAATTTCAGTATTATATGATAAAACAGTATATTGCAAAAGATCTACAATATTTGTTCCACGTATATTCTGTCCCTTGTATACAATTTCGTCTTGAAGATTCCATGTGAGAATATCCGTGGATGTGGTGAGAATGCAGTGAAGAAGTTCTTCAGCATTGTTTTTATCAACATTATCGTTTAAGTGTCTAAGTATATCTTCAACGCGCTAATGTCTCAGAGATGATCTTTCCTTGCTGTCCATGGTTGGAATGACGATGTGAAGTAATGATGATTATTTTATACTAATTCTGCAAAGCCCTCTAAAAGTGGTGCAAGTACCAATCCTAGAAAACCACTCTCACGCTGAACAAGAATTTTCCTTTTCTTTCTAAAACTCCTATTTCTTAGGATATCTTAGGATATCGTACAATATCATGGAATATCAATATCATAGGATTATTTATGTTGGTTTGACCATATAATACTATTTATGTAACGGTACACAAACTTCGAATTCATTTTACATTTGATTGTGAACCTGCAAACATGTCTTATCCCTGCGAGGTCTGTGGAATTGGAAGACCGTTTTCAACACCTGGTAACCGTTTACGTCACAAAAAACAGATGCGTTGCACCAGTACGTGTAATCGGCAATAAGTCCAGTGTTATGCAGCATGCATCCTTTTACGTGCATCGTAGCTTGGTGTACACAAAGCGGCAAAACCGTATGGGTAAAATCTCTCTTGGAGAATGCTCAAACGACTGTAAGTTCTGCTCCTCAACGTATCATTTGGTGATAAATTATGGTCAATGGCAACCCTCCTATTTGATATGATGAGAACAATGCCTGGAATCGAGTTTAATCAACGCATCCCCGAAGACATCGACAACGCAGATTACTTGGACGTATCTCAACGGAATTGGATCGTATTGGACGACCTTGTGGCTCAATCTGGCAATGATAAACGTATTGCTTGTCTTTTTGCAAAAGGAAGCCATTATCGAAATTTGTCCATCATCTATATTGTCCAAAACATATTTCATCAAGGCAAAGAAATGAGAAATATCAGCCTTAATGCTCATTATATCGTGTTGTTCAAGTCACCAAGAGATAAACAGCAAATTTCTAAGCTTGCAAGGCAAATAAATCCTTGTAGAGTGCAAGAGTTTATGAGGAATTATGAAGATGCCACGAGTCGACCTTATGGGTACTTGATGTTGGACTTAAAGCCAACAAAGGACGATCAACAACGACTCAAGACCAACGTACCTCCCGGCGAGATTGCAAAGTTACACAACTGTCGTATCGTCAACCGCTACTTGTAAATGCAATGTATGATGCAGAACGGAGAATGAAAGAAATCATGGAAGCGCCACAACTTTCTGTGGTGGAAAAAGCAGGCTTTACTCTGATCAACTAAATCGGTTTCTCACATTCAAAAATAAGATGGATGTTCCGGCTCACTATCACGAAGCTCCTGTTCAGAGAACTTCACTAGTGTCTCCTACTCCTGTATCTGCTGAGATACCACAAGTGCCTCCTACCCATGTACCAGCGGAAATACCACCACCAGTGCCTGCATGCTACTCCTAAACCTAATTTCCTTACACCACCACCGACAGAAGAGGAACGACCAAAACTCAAGCGCAACTTTTTTCACAATTGGGTAGACTCTGCTGATTGGAAAGAAAGTGACTTGGCTATGATGAAACCAAAGGAAAGAGAGCGGTATGAACGTTTTATGCAGGGCCGTAGCAACTGGGGGGGCTGCAGCCACCCCCCCCCCCCAATAATTTGCTAATAATCATTCTTTTTTCAAAATCATACAAACTTTATCATTTAATCTGTGACAAACTGCAAAGAATGAAGATATTACTCATACTCCAGATCGTTCCTCGCGTAGAAATTTTAGCTGAATTTCTGTCGCGCATTTTCAAGAAAATCCCACAAAATCTGCACATTTTTGATGAACTAATGATTTATTTTGTCTTTTGCGTGTTGGGTCTTACGAAAGAAAACTCTGGAAATGCCATTTCAGACCATCTAGAGACTCCAGATTTTCGAAATTTTCTCAAATGTTCTGCCTTCATTTCCGCGCAACTGCCATTTACGACGAAAATTCCCGCCGCGCATTTATAATACTACAGTATGACCCATACTTTCCTGCAAATTTCGACATACTAAAACGCTGTTTTCTGACTATCTGAATTCTGTTAAATCTTCCCCCAAAGTCCAGGAAATGGCATTTTAGAGACTCTAAATTAAAAAATTTCCTCGGGCCTTCGGCCCTCGCTTTCAGCCCCCCAATCAAAAAGAGCTTCCTACGGCCCTGACAGCAAATATGCATGCGCATTGAAAAATGAAGATTGTTTAGACTTTAGACACGGCTTTAGACTTCAGAGGAAACCCACGCAATACTGGCAAGCTTCCAAATTGTTTGTGTGCCAATCAGAACACTGCGTGTATTTGTATCTCGTCGTTCATTGGCTCCTGTCTGTGGGTTTATAGTGCTAAGTTAAATTTTAGTTGAACTTTGCTGTATGAAATTTGAGAACACTGACAGACTGACAAAGGTTGAAAATTTGCCATTATATACGAACAGTTTTTATGCGGAGCATTAAAAACGTATTGAGAATCAAACTTTATAGCACACGCTTACAGACCACGCAAACATTCGACGAAAACATGTAACTTATCCTGCGTGCAAGAAGGAGTTTATATCGAGGACTATGTTTTGAAAGAATTTGCCGTGTGAAAAGCGACACGCCGTTTATAGACGTTAAATAATATCTTAGTATCTTACGATATAATGAGGTATACAAACTATTTTGGATCCAACTTGGCTTTCAAAGACCTCTGATCCATGGATGATCCATAAAGAATTTTGGTATTATTAAAAGTACAGACGGTAGCGCTGAACAGGACACTTCACAACGACAGCGCCATATTTAGTAGAGGCTCAAGGTATGTGCTTTATACGTTTTGCTGTGATATAACATTAATACTGTCGTTTGTTCTATTGTCATTTCGCTGCAAGTTATTTTCGTTTAGCGTTAGTTATATGAAATAAAATTTATACACATAAACAAATATTATCGAAGGAAAACCCTCACAGAATTCTTTCATTCGGCCACAACAATCCAGTGTTATGGGCCATCCATTTAATATACACATCTCCCTATGGACGAGAATTCCTGAGGGGGTTCGAAAAAGCCATTTCTGAGGGGTTGTGTGCATCGGCATCCTTTGATCTATGCATTTTTTCTGAGGGTAAGGTAAAAATTTCTTAATTTCTTGGGGGGTGTTTGTGTCGGCACTTTGATATTTTTTTCTTAGGGGTTCAAATTTTATTGACCTCGTCCATAGGGGGGTGTGTACATTAAATGGAATGGCCCTTAATTTTATAGCCGTTCTTGTTTGCTAGCGCTATTAATATATCTATCAAAGGTGGATTTAATAACTTTAATTTAACGTGCTGTTTTCGTTTGTGTATTTCTGCACGTATGTTTATTTCAAAACTTCAGAGAAATAAACTCTGATCAAGACAAGATCTCGGAAGAAATATTTCCAATTTTTTAGACAAGCTGCCAGGAAGTTTGCCTTGGATTTTGGTGATTTGAACTATCAAATGAAAGTTTCAAACATATTTATACAAAATGCTGGTCGCTCCAATGTCAAGGTGAACGAGAAAGATTGGGTGGGTGCCACACGGCTTTAGTTTGCTCATGCATGTCTTGCTTAACTTGGAAAGTATATGTATGTGTTGTTTATCTGACATTGGATCGCAATATCAAAGTCTATTTGCCAGACAGTGGCTGACACAAGTTTTCCTTGTTTGTTCAATGTGTAGTTAAGTCGTGCAGACATCTGCCTACTGTGCTAGATTACATACCATAAATCTCCGACTATAAGCGCTGGGGCTTGTCGTAGAGATTTTTGATGTATGGGCTTATACAGGGGGCTTATATAGGGGGGGGGGACTTATACATGGACGATCTTTTGTGTTAGTGTAATAGTGATAAACAAGTATATTACCATAATAGTGACAAACAAGTGTTAAGCATAGTAATAATAGTGATTAATAGTGATAAACAAGTGGGCTTGTATTCAGGGAGGCTTATATTTGGAATGAGGTGAGCGTTAGTACATGTGGTGGGCTTATGGAGGGTGGGGGGCTTATATTTGGAGGTTTACAGTATCGAATCACAAGGTTAGTTAAGTCACACTTCCAAAATTGAACACATTTAACTGCCTCCTCTTGATTTGATTTATTAATTGCATTGGGCACCAATATGCTCTATTTTATTACTTGACTCTGTCTAATGCCAGATGATTTTATTTGCTTAGGGTCTCCCATGAATGGGTTAAAACCATTGTGTCGAATGGGTTAATTGTATGTATATTATGTTCTGGGATCAGGTCAACTTTCGTATATTGTTTCAATTGTGTCACTATCAGGGTGATGCTCATGCCAGGCAACCTCGTTCCCAAGGCTTTCATGTGAGGACGAATGGAGAGACGAGAAAGTCCTGGTCTTGGCCACTCAATTTTGCATTCTGATTGGCTAACACCA